TTTGCTTTACAGTTTTTTGTTCCAGGCCACGAAACAGCTGATTCTTTAAAGAACCATCTGTGACCTGGCCAAACATACCCTGCTTGCATTTCCTGCAGGCTGTGCACTATAGGCTATGCGGCATGCATAGGAGTACTCTTTCATTCAACCAGATTCAAGAGACTGTAAGTTCTCAGCTGAAGCATCTAAGCATCTTAGATGCTTTAGCCCTTACCTAGCTCAAACGAGTGCAAAGGCTTGGTGGCATGCTGCCACGATTTTCCAAGCAGCAGGCCATTTCTGATTTGACAGACCCTTTGTGAGCACATCACCACGCTGCAGCGAAGTGTCTATATGACTTCTGAGCTATTGACCACTTCACAGGTTGATGCGCGTTAAGCCTGTAAGGCCTTGCGAGATACCGAAGATTGGGAGTATCCCTTGGCGATGATTGCTGTCACGGCGGCATGGTCTTCAAAGATTGCCAGAGCGACTGGCGGAATCAACTGCTGCCAGACAGGAAGTGTGGGCAAGGCTTCAGAAAACAATGGGGATGATGAGGACACGAGTTCTTGGAGTTGGGGACAGGCTTTGGAGTTGTCTTTGGCTTCGGCTCCGGCTCCAGGCTTGTTCTCAGAACCAGGCTTTACCTTCTCGCGCAAATATGTACATGAGCCCCCGCGCGAGCATCCTGACGGCTTAAGACACACGGCCAAAGCCTTACCTTTGCCTTGACCATATTTTCCTTTTCCTTTCTCACCTTGTCCCTTGCCTTTCGCATCTTCCTTGGATCAGGCGTGTTTGGTTTGTCCTCTCGCTCTTTCTTCCATGACTTTGGTTTCAAGTTTCAAGGGCAACTAGATCGAACGGGCATTCACATCTTCCATTTCCTCAACAAGATGCTCCTGAAGCCTTCCCCAAAGAAAATCGAAATCATGGAGAGATGATGCGGCATCAGAACGTTCGATCTCGCCGCTTGTCCTTTCAAGTTTCGGTAAGTTTCTCAAACGATGGAACAACCACTCACCAAGCATGCGAGGTTGCGGCCAATCTGTAGGATCGATGGAGTTCAATGTTTTCATCGCGCTTTCACTGAACTCTTGAAGACCCTTCAAGGGATAGTCGGATAGCCAATGAGCTCAACCTAAAAGATGCTGCGTGATGTATACACATCGATTGACGAGCGCATCTCTCCACATAACCCTGGCATCGAAACTGCACTTCAGCAATGGTTTTCACACTCTTCAACAACTCCAGAGGCTAACCAACGATCAAAGCGAGGATTCTGATGACTCTTGATTTGACACTCTTGTTCTTTCCCAATCTGAAATAATTAACAAACATTCCCACTGACACAAACACTCGCTTGATGAAATGTCCAAGAAGCAACAGAAAGTTGCTCTTCCATGAACGGAATTCAGCTGCAAATTGAGGAACAGGCTCCAGCTTGGTATGCAACAAGGCTCTGGATTGAGAATCTGAAATCAAATTTTCTTCATCTTCTGAACCTTCACCCCCTGATCATCAGGCTCCGACGGGTCTCCGGGAAAACTACTGGATCGACGAAAACCTCGAGGCAATCCAGGAAAACTCTGAACAGCTTCATGCGAAGGATACGAAGGCTATGTTGGCGAACCGCGCTATTTTGGCTTGTTTCGTTTCCTTGATTGGAAGACTCGCATTCCATTCATGTCGTTCTATGAAACAAAGCTTGGACTGCTTCCACGATCCAAGTCAGCGTGGCATGGGCTCACTACTGCTTCCAAGTTCCTGAGGAATGGAGCAAGAGCGAGGCGCTGGCTGCTAGCGGCGCGACACCGCAATCTAGCTAGCCTCCAGTTCCGACACACGATCTTTGGAAGGAAAAGCTTCATTGCCCAACCTTTCATGGTGTACGCCTTGGCTTCTGACAGAAAGCAAGTCAACCAGAGTTGGGTGGCAGGAGATCCAGTTGGAGCTTCCCGAACGCCTTCTGGTCTTGGCAAACTCTTGAGGACTTTAGATACAGGCTGTCAAGGAGGACCCTTGCGGTCTTTCCTCAGTGTACTGGAGAACCTGGACTGCGGCTGCACCCACATCTGGAGGACTATTGGCGCTCAAATTCAATGATGGTGATTGATCTGTTGACATGACTGGGAATGACTTGATACCACTTAATTCACTTTCTTCCTTTCTCGCCGCAGCCTATCAGGATTCAAGTTTGGGGCGAAGATTGGACAGGCACGAGGCGGATGGAGTGGCGGGTCAAACCTGATGAACTGCGCCAAATGCTCCTTGCGCCAATCGCTCGAAATTGACAAGGAATACAAATCTCTCTGGGCCACGACCGGATCCTGGCTTTCTGATCTGGAAGTCAATTGATCCACTTGCCCAAAACTCTCTGATCATCCCAGTGTTGCGCGCGCAATGAATGACGCTTTCCCCCCTCACCCGTGCAACGGTCAGTCACAAGGGCGTACTTGACCCTCAACTCCAACTGTTCAACCTGTGTAAACAAGTTTCGCAAGTTGACCTGAGATCTCTCAATTTAGATAAAGCACACCACAAAATCAGGATCTGCTGGACAAATCGTTGAGCTCCGAGATAGTCCATATACGCCTTGGTGACTACATCCAAAACTTGATGGAAACTGAAAGAGATGAGGTGTACGTCAAACAACTGCCCACGAACTTGTAGATGGCCACACTTGGGTGAAGCAGGGCCTGCAACACGTCCAATGCTTCGACTTCACTGTCCTCAATCTGAATGTGCCTCACTGGTGCTGGAGGTGGTTCTGGAATTGGTGCAGAGCCTTTGTTGACGCCAACTGCAAATCTCTTGCCTTAGGCGGAGGACCTTTCGGGATTGGTGAAGGTTTAGCAATGGGAACGAATTTGGCAGCCGGCCTAATCTTCACTGGAGTCACTAACCTTGGCTTGGCTCGGAAGCAACGGCCCTCAATGATGCAGCAAGACGTGCATGAGAGCTTGCTGAAATGGCCTTCGGTTCAGTCACAACTTCTTCCTCAATCACAACTTCCTCCTCTGAGATCTCTTCAACAGGCTCCAAGGAGGAGGAGTAGGAGGAGAGCCCACAGGCCTCAGAGAGCCCTCGTCTGCTTTCAGAGTACAGCGCTCCTGGGCGCAAGCCTCACCAGCTCGGTGTTGACACAGCTCAAGGGCCGTGCCTTAGGCAGAACGATCGCCTCTTCCCGCTCACCTTCTCTTTCGGAATCACGGCGTTCCGCCTCCCAATAACGGGTAGTGTTCAACGGCCGACTCAATCCACCGGTATGAAAAACTGCGGAAACCCTTGATCTTCAGCAACGTTTCTGATGTGCGCCTCACGACGACGCTTGGCACTCGCTCCACCCCTGATACCGCGACGCCGGGGTTCCTCTTCGTCCATGTTCAAGCCCTTCAGAGGGCAGGGAGGCTACGAGTGATGAAAGTTGCAAAAGGGGGAACCACAAACAATCAGAGCCCTACAGCTGATGCACTTGAAGTGGTTACAACCAACCCCAAAAAACAACAAAACACAAAGCACAACTCTCACCGCTGCGCTCTTGTTTTCATCCTGGACCAAAAATAAAGCAAAACAAATGAGGCATGTAGAGGGGTGCTGTACACGGCAGTTCTTTCAAGCATGACTGGCATACATCCTGAAATGTGTTATTACATTTGTTCCGACATATCTGTTGTCATATGTTTTGATATCTTCTCCGACATGTATTCAAAAATATACATGTTCAGGAACCAAAGTCTGGCATCTGTTCTGACACTTGCTTGACGCATGTTCTTGCATCATGTCTAGCATATTTTCTGACATGCACTCTGACATATGCTTTGAAATGCACTCTGGAGCGGTCTCTGACGTATCCTCTGACATACAAAAGTTCGGGCATCAATTCTCACCTGCGTTGTGCTTCTGCATTGCGTTTTGCTTTCCAGTCTGGCATAGATTGTGACACTTGCCCTGGTATGACATGTGATGGCATAGATTGTGACACTTGCCAAAATCACACACCTCTTCTGACACATGTTCTGCCATCAAGTCTTGCAAATGTTCTGACATGTTCTGACACTAATACATGCTCTGACATTGGTTCTGACATCTGTTCTTGCATTCGTTTTGGCATCATTTTGGGCAATTGCGCTGACATCTTTGGCGTCTATTCTCGCATATCTGCTTGCATCAAGTCTGGGATATATTCTGACATTGGTTCTTGCATTTATTGTGAAATGTCTCTGACATTTGTTCTGGGCCTGTGTCTGGCATGTTTTCTATCTGCATGATGCATACGGGGCCGGGGTCCAGCGCCCCGACCACAGGAAGACGAGGACGCGGAAGGAAGGAAGGAAGGAAGGAAGGAAGGAAGGCAGGGAGGAAGGAAGGAAGGAAGAGCAGAAGTAGCACTGACATAAAATTAAATAAATGTATATAAACCCTTACAGTACCTGACAGGTGGAGAAAAATACTTGAGAGAGTCACATGCTGAAACCAAATTTCTTGGCCGATGTGGCGGCTCCGCTGCAGCTTCAATGTTCAATCTAAGGAGGTTCTAAGAAAACCGTTGCATGTGTATCAACAGTTCCTGCAAATACATGAAGATTCTAAGATTCAGGCGCTGCATTCACATCTACTGCCAGCCCGCATTTGCCTTGGCAGCAAGGTCTCAGGAAATGTACAGTCTACGAAGCACAAAAAAGTCCATATGTACATGTCCATACAAAACTGGTCGAAGGAGTCCCTCAGCAAGAACTATATAATAAGCTGGATGAATTGCAGCATAGATACGGCAAAGTAGAAATGCAAGCACACGATCCCACAGAGGGATAAATAGTTGTTGCGAACGTTCGGCGCGAGTCGAAAGCATCTCTCCGTTCCAACACAGAGAACGCACAGTTTGAGCCAAAGGGCTAGTTTCAAGAAGCACCTCGACCCTAGCCAATTAATCTTTAAGCAGGATCTGCTTTTCTCCAACAAACGAAGATCAAGGAGTAGTATCAATCAAGTCAACCGATCTAGTTCAGCCCTTTTAACTTCTTGCTATGATTCTCAAGATCTGCGATATGGACTCACATGTCAGCAAAGCGAGAATCTGCCGATTCGCAGCCCCTGGCTACCACTCCAAAGCTCCGAGTGGATGCCATTGGGGTCAAACGGATGCGTCTTTGGCATGCATTTGCTGTCCCCATACATCACTCCAAGCAGAAAACCAGTTCACACAGGGTCAGCTTCGAACCACATGGTGTCTTATCCAGCCTACTTAAAGAATCTGACATGTCCGCCACTGCATACCATCATCATGTCCAGCACTCAAAGTGGCTTCCACAAAGCGGTCTGTGATGTTTCAAGAGTCGGAGTTGAACCTCTACATACCCTTTCAGAAGGGAACAACTGAAAGAGACCGTTCTTGACATCTTCACTTGGCAACAAGAAAGAGAGGTCTCTTCCCAGCTTCGCTACATGAGGGCAATCGAAACCAAGGCAATGCACGCCAACGCGCCCAGGGTGAGCAAAGCGGGACGACTCACCTCAGAGCGCGGGACAACTCGGACGAGCTCTGAGCTTGAAGGGATGAGTTCGTTTTGATGCTTTTTGGGCCTACGAACTGCCTCGTGCGTCCACCCGGAGAGTCCACTCCGAAAGAAAGAAAAACCTACTAAATGCCATGTCCTCCTCTAAGAAGGCGACAGGTACGCTGCCATAGCTGCCACCCAGCGCCAGGGCACAAACCACAGGGAACTGTCCATAGCCAGCGGAGAAACTGCCGCAGCTGAGTTCAAGAGTTCCATGAAGAATCATCACAGTCCACTTTGCAAACTGACATTGAGAGAATACGATGGTGTGGACTGATTGCGACGGGTTTGATGAGTAACCAGCATAGGCATAGGTGTGTGTGTGTGTGTGTGTCCGTCCTTCCTTTGCAAAAGAAATCTGCAAAAGCAACTTGGAGCCTGTATCTGGATGCCGTTCCGCCGTAGACAAAGCCTTCGGCCTCTGGTGTTTCAGGCTCTTGCCACTCACCTTGCAAACCAGGAAAATGATAGGACTGAGCGGAGGGTCAGTACTCAAGAATGCACTCACAGGAACTGGATGTTACCAAATTGTGCCTGCTGGTCGAGGTGGTAAGCTGGCATCTCGTTGTTCTGTTTCCATACCTTGAGTGCAAGTTTCCACCAAGGCTATGGTCTAGCCAAAGAGAAACCAGCCATCTAAGACTTGTCGAAGACAGGGCACCACCACTTCCATCCCTTGCGTACACTGGCGTGACCGTCTGTTGCGACACCGCAGCCTTCACGCAAGGCGATCATCCGTCTCAAAAATCTGACCCCGACAAAGCCTTGCACACTGGGCAGCTGCTCCAGCCGTTGCTGGGCTGCAGATTGCCATATGCCGACCTTGCAAGGACACGGACTGATTTGGTGACAATAATATACATCAATCAAATATCTTCGTCTTATCTTTTTCTTGTTACAAAAGACTCATGTGATCGCTTCTGCTTTGACCACTGATGATTCATGCTCAACCGCCCTTACAAGTGAGCCTTCGAGGGGCAGAAAGCCACAAGTGCAAGCATTTCCAGCAGAACCTCGCAATGCCAGAAACAACCAGTCTAGACTCTAGACGCTTGCAAAGCACGGAGGTGTTTTGGCGTGCTCAGTTTTTGCAAGCTGGGTTTCCGGCAAATGCCCACAACGGGTGACAACAGGTTCGAAAGCAGTTTCAAAACATATATTGCATTCGAACATCTGCTCAAGGAGGAAGGCGCGTTTCTCCGGTGTGCACGATCTTGCTGCAAAGATTTGGCCTTTTTATAATTGGTAAACACTTCTGATGTCAGTGTTGAAGTGTATGGAACAAAGCTTGCAAAACCTCTTGATCACCTGACGGCATAACAATGTCAGGACCTGTCAAAATGTTGAACCTTGTATATCTCCGCATCGTGTTGACAAGAAAACTCTGCAAAAAGGAAGTCGCGCCGCAACGCACAAACAAAAAGCATAAGATAGTTATCATGGTGCACTGCTCAGAGTACTTCCTGTCTGCAACAACCAACAGGTAAACAAGCTGCACACATCCTGCCAGGATAAGTTTTGAAGGATGCTGATGCTGAATTTTTGATTGGACAAATCAGCTACAATTGTAGCTTGTCAGTTTTCCTTTCTGTGGAGCTCGCCCCTGCTAAGACGAATGATAGTTAGAATATAGTATAATATACAATTGCATGGTGCAGTTTGTTTGTGCCGTGAGCGATTATGCATTGTCAAACGTCGGTCTTATGGCTGAGTTCGGCCAAACCTCAACCTCGACATAATCGAAAGCACTTCCACTTCCACTGGATCAAGTGAAGACATGTTAAAGAGCACGCTTAAGAATAAAAATATATATATATATATATTCAGCTGCATCATTTAAGTTTGATTTGATAAGATCTGAATCAGCTTCGGACGCGATTCCTTTTCGCACAAGCTTGAGAGGTCTGACTCGGTCTGAGTTCAAAAGTGCTTTGGTTAATGTGACCTTGTCACTGTGGCCCACGCCACCTGCACCCCTGGTGCATACCTCTGCCAGGTATACGTTTCCTACCCGTACCTGGTAGACTCCCTTAAAGTAGTCAAGAGGATACTGAATGTCAGTCCTATGACTAGATGGGAGTGGAAAATGAAGTAACAAACTGCAGTAGCCATAGAGTCCCAACTCGTGTACTGCATAAACATGAATCGAACGCAGTGACCTCCCATTGCACCGCAATGTCACTGACGAGGGGTATCAGCACTCACGACTGGAGTATTTAGCCAAGCCGACAGCCGCAATTCGTCTGGCATCATGCAGGCCGCTGCCAGGCAGAAAGGGCATCAAATCGTAGACGAAAGACTGAACTGGACCTGTGGTACTTTGCAGACAGCTACCACACGAGGTCGCTCACGACTGGAGCATTTAGCCAAGCCGACCGCTGCAAAAGGAGGCCAGCATCCTGCAGACTGCTGCCGGCATGAACGTAATCATCACGAAAAACCTCAAAGTGACCCGTGGTACCCTGCAAACTGCAACCACAAAATGAGCCTCTCAGAGGGAGACACCACACAGGCATCGCTCACGACTGGAGCATTTAGCCAAGCCGACTGCTGCAAAAGGAGGCCAGCATCATGCAGACTGCTGCCGGCATGAACGTAACCATCACGAAAAACTTCAAAGTGACCCGTGGTACCCTGCAGAATGCAACCACAAAATGAGCCTCTCAGAGGGAGACACCACACAGGCAAAATGGAAATCGCTCACACCGGAGCATTTAGCCGAGCCGACAGCCGCAAATCAGCTGGCATCTTGCAGGCTGCTGCCAGCATGGAAAACATCGCAGGACTGAAGGAAAATGAATCACCAGTGGAAATCAAAAGGGGCAGTGCCAAACATTCGCTTCGCAATGTTACTGTCGAGGATATCAGCGCTCAAATCGCCTGGAGCATTTCGCCTAGCCGACTGCTGCAAAAATAACCGGTGGCATTCAGAAGGCAGCTGCCAGAGGAGATGGAGGACCAGTGGTACATGGCGGACTGCTACCACCTAAAATCACCAAAGAGAGGCAGTGACCAGCAATAGCACCCGCATTGCCACTGCAAATTGAAAAGAAATGCAGTGACCGGCAGATGCCCCCGCATTGCCGCTGCAAAGGTATCTGAATAAAGCAGCAACCAGCAATTGCTTCGCAATGCCACTGCCGAGGGGTGTCAGGGCTCAGCTCAACTGGAGCGTTTCGCCTAGCGGACTGCTCCTGAAGAGTCTAGTGTCTCTGACTCTTCAACAGTTTTTCTCTCCCACCCACCACACCCTGTGCTCTGTTCGAGTGGTTGCAGGGAACTCTGTGGCAGCTGTCGGCCAGTGTGTCTACGTTTGCGGTGCGTCCGAGTGGTTTGAAAATCTTGATGGGTGTTTCTCCTGACTGGAGGTCCTTTCTTGTGGTAGCAGTCTGCCGGGTACCACATCTCATTCCGTTCGTTCCGTGGCGGCTGTCCGCAGAATGCCGCATATTTTGCAGCGTCACTCCTTTCATCTTTTTGGCTTGAGCCGCAAGCTTCAAGGGGTGTACTTAAAATGAATGACATCAAATATTTCCTCATCACCTGAATGAATGAATATATTCGGGTGTATCATTTCAGTTTGACTTGATAAGATCTGAATCAGCTTCGGACGCGATTCCTTTTCGCACAAGCTTGAGAGGTCTGACTTGGTCTGAGTTCAAAAGTGCTTTGGTTAATGTGACCCTGTCACTGTGGCCCACGCCACCTGCACCCCTGGCGCATACCTCTGCCAGGTATACGTTTCCAATGCACTCTAGAAAGGACACCCAAAGCACTCAGCAGAACTTGAAGACATGACCGATAGTATGGTAGGGCAGGCGGAGTAGAAGCATGGGAACTGGTACTTGATGAACCTGAAAGGCATGCGCCTGATACCACTCATCATGAAGCCCTTTACGGTTTATACCATCTGACCAAACATCAGCTGATTGGACCCACTCGAAATAGCAACCACTGCTCAATAGGGCGTGGATGACCCAGCCACGCTGTCTGACTCTAGGTTGTTGCTGCGTCCCCAGACCAGGGACATCAGTGCTGCGATGTTGTCAACAAACCACCGTCCCTGACAGGAACGAGCCTGACTGGCTACAAAA